GCTTCTTGCTAGGAATAGAGTACAAATTGTAAACAACCGAGGTACAAAGTGTCTAGGCAGGGCTTAAATAGGGGAAAAGTTCCAGAAGCAATAAAACAATTTTCAAAGGCATTTTATGATTTTGAGGTCCAAATATCCTAAAATTATGTCGTCTATTACAATCCTAAGGATGAAGCCACACAGTTCGAGGCTACCAGCTGTTCCATCGAAGAAGGATGGGCAATCTTCTCCTATGCAATTAACTGCCTCTGAAAACCTGCCAGAGGGTCAGCTAGGAGTCAGTTCTGACTCTCTGGTGTACAACAAAGCAACAAAGGTCAGGGTCGTCATTAAGATTTTGTTTACATGTGACATTAATGATGTTATTCAATAATTTCTGCATTCTGTTATACCACCTTTTTGCGAGTAGGAACACTGGATTTCTTTCAGTAAATTGACCAAGTGGCTGTCTTTCAAAGCCTGTTGACCACATCCAGGAATGCATCTGTTAGCCCGCTTGAGGAAGCCACTCATATTTTAATGAGTAATGTAAATAATTTATACACATAAAATATGTGTTTTGTGTTTTATAAGCAATATAATACTCTGAGCTGAGAAAATGTATTAACTATTTTATTCAGGCCAGTTCTTGAATTTAGATGTTGCTGTTATTGTTGTGTACCATCGATTTGGAACTGCTTTTCAGAGGCAGTTAATGTCACCGGGGAAGATTGTCCATCTTTTTCCTGTGGAGCAGCTGATGGATTGCAGTGCAGCTTCTTGCCACTAGGCCACCTGAGTTCCCTGAATTTAAATGAAGGTATGTCCTTAGAGAGGGACATCATGCTTGGGAGGGTAGAGGGACAGCGCAGGAGAGGAAGGCCCTCTATGAGGTGGATTGATTCAGTGACTGGGATAATTGGGATGGGAGTGTCAGAAACAGTGTGATTGACACAGGACAGAGTGGAGTTTAGGGCTGTTGGACATAGGGTTGCTATGAGTCGCAGGCGACTCAACGGCACATAACAACAACAACACATGTGGCCAGGAAGGACTTAACCTTGGAGAAGGACACCATGTTCAGAAGTGTGGAGCGACAGTGCCAGAGAGGAAGACCCCAAATGAGATGAATTGATACAGAGACTAGGGTGATGGGAGTAGGCGTCTCAGAGTCAGTGAGACTGGCCAGGACAGGGCAGGCTTATAGTTATTGTACATAGAGTCACTATAAGTCACAGGTGACTTGATGGCACATAACAACAACAACAACCACCCAATTTCAGGGAGAAATAAGCTAAACAATATCAGAAATAACAAGCAGGAATTCAGGGTAAATATATAAGAAACTTCCATCCATGACATAGATCAGTCATAACAGATAAGGTAAGAATTCGAGTTGTGTCAATTTTGTATAGTCTCCAGTAATGTCCTACAGTTAAGGACAATGCAGAGTCCTATTTAAGTGTAAGTATTTTGTGCCTCCTATTCCATCGAGGGTGTATTCTGGGGAGAATGAGAAGCATTGGCAAACATCAACGAATAAAGCAAAGCAAAGAGGCCAAATAGGTTTGTTTAATTAGAAATTGAACTGTCTCAAGTGGAAGTGATCCCAGGGGTTAGAGTTAACTAATTTTTAAAAATTCATTTTAAAGAACAGTCCATTTTCAATATTAACAGACTTCTCTGAAGGTAGACTTGCCACTTTCTATTAAATATTTTGCTACAATCAAAATAATTTGTTAATAGTCCCAATAAACCAAAACCTCTACTATGACTACTACGTCTGTCAAATTGTTCTTACCTCACCAACGTCCTATAAGACAGAGGAAAACTGCATATAGAGCTTTCCCAGTTGATTGCTACATCTTTTTCTGACTGATTGGCTAATTGGATGAAAGTGAAGATATTTTGTTAGCAGCCAAGCACTGTAACCACTGCATCACGTATCTATCTATCTATCTATCTATCTATCTATCTATCTATCTATCTATCTATCTCTAAATAAGAAAGGTAAACGTGAAATGTTTTGAGCATATTAAGTTTTAATGAATTATTAAAATTAACAGAGAACTGCATGCTATTTTATTAAAGTAGCTCTTAAGAGCTCTTATGTTTCTGACTCAGTCAACTTTACTATACCTTAGATAATGTTTTTACATATTGCTATTAAATTATTTCAAGCATTGAAAGTGTTAACTGTTATGTTTTGTAGATATACAGAAAATGTTCCAGAAAAAAATTATTTCCATTAAAGACTTTGTAGTAAAATAAACACTGTTTTTATAATTTAGAGCTGATGACATTTTACTAAAATATTTAAAATAGGATAATTTAAAATGTAACCTTAAAAACAGTCAAGAGACATTTTTAAAGAAACAAACAGTATTTGAAAAGTAAAAAAAAAATAAGTTTTTAGTTAATCGATATTCCTGTTTCTATCTCATATAAAAAAATGAAAGAGTTGGAGTTTAAGTAAATTTGGAACATCACTGAAAATTAGTCCCTCACAGAAATCCTAACAAGTGGAACAGTTGGCAGCATCATTTTAAAGTATTAAAATGGACAAAGTTTTCATTTTACTTGGATACATAGTCAATATCCATGAAAACTGTTTTCAAGATATCAAAGGACTCACTGTATCGGCCATCTGCTACAAAGGCTGATTTTTTAAAAGAGTTAAAAACAGGTGTATCAGTTTGAGTATTACGTCAAAGCAGTCATAACTTATCAGCATGCAAAACTAGGGTTGTTGCAGTTGAAATATGATATTTGGAAAGACTATAAAATATACCATGTACTTTCAGAAGAAAAATAATCTTAGACTCAATATTGACAGAATAATTCCAGAAAGAACAGATAGACTTTGTGTTGTGTATTTTGAGCATGATATAGGGAGTTACATGTTTCTAGAGAAACATGTTTTTTTAAAATAATGAGTCAGCAGGAAAAAAAAAGCAAAAACAAAAAAACAACAACAATCAAACAACAAATCCATCTCAGTTAGATGGACTGACTCCAACAATTGGCTTTAAAAATAATAGTAATTGTGAAGATAGTACAGGAATTCTGTGGTACGGTTCTGCAATGCATTATAGGTCTCTATTTGTCAGATTTGATACATTAGCAATGATTTTCTTCTTTTAACTATGGCATTGCACTCTGCTTAGTGAACAGAGCACAAAATCTATAGATTGGAGAGATGAAAACCATGGTGAGGCAAGAAGGACCTAGGGTACAAAATTTAAGGAGAAACTCAATTTTGTGATTGCAAAAGTGAAAGAGCTAAATGCTTCTCGGATTTTGTATTTTAGGAGCTTATCTAGCGAGTCCTTTTGCTGACCCTAATATAAAGGAAATGGTGCAGGGGAAAAAATGTCACAAAGGAACACAATACTTTTTTAATATAACTAATTCATCAGGTAATCTGTTCAAACCTAGAGACTTACTAGGATTGAAAATTCTACCATAATCATATGTTGACATTTATAATTACAATGATTGCTGTCATTATGTGACTTTAAGTCAATGGCAACTCATAATGATACAATGAACATGTTTGAGCCCATTGTAACAATCACTGTGTCAATCAATTTTGTTGAGGGTCTTACTTTCCCTAACCCTCCATCTTTTCCAGTGTTGTGTCTTTTCCCAATGATTAGACCCTCCTGCCAACATGCCCTTTGGCATTTCACATTTCCTGTGAGATGATGTTTCACCATTCTTGTCTTTAAGGAGCAACATGATTGCACTTTCTCCACAACAGACTATAATCATAGAACGATTACTAAGAAGCAATCCATTTAAAAAACCATTAGGTCAATGTTAAATTTTACCAATATTACTTAATATTTCTCACAAAAAATAAGAACATGGTTAAGTATTTAAAAATTCCTTAATATCACAAAGATAACAATAAATAACTTAAGATATTAAGGGGGAAACTTGATGGTGACTTGCAGATACAAAATCTATGTGCAACTGATAAAATTATCTAACTTGATAAATGTCAACCAGTACCCTGCTAGCTGAAGGAAAACAAGTTTAGCAACAATCATATGAAGTGCTGTTTTTTGAGTAAGAACAAAAACAGTGAAAGTCCCATATAGCATGAAGAATATAACAGCCAATATCTTTTATTTGGCCAACCAACACACATGTTCATTCATAAATTACAAATATCTTCCATTCCACTGACTTGTTTTCCTAGGGTAGGTACACTTATTTTTCTTATCTGAATCAATTTTCCTAGATTAATTTCTCTGAATAATAATATTATATAAGCTTGCCAATTGAGTATCTTATTAATGATATTTCATTCCTTAGACAAGAGAAAATATTCTCTCAATTATTTTTTCTAAGCTATTTAATATGAACTGTATGATATGTTCTGAAAAACATCAAGTGATAGGAAAATTAAATATTAAAACATTGTTGTTTTTGTTGTTGTTTTGTACTGTTGAGTCAAAGCGACCCATAGAGGACCCTTGGCAGGTTTTCAGAGGCAGTTCATCACATGGGAAGGGATTGTCCATCTCTCTCCTCTGGAGCAGCTAGTGGATTAGAACTATATGCCTTTGGGATTTCAGTGAAGCTTCTTAGCACTAGGCCACAAGAGATTAAAAATATACAGCAAAAAAAAATATGATAGAATGAGAAGCTTGATTAAGTAAATATACATAGAAATACAGTGGCATTTTCAAGAAATACAATTAAAGATAGACAATATGATGTCAGGCTCAAATCTCTAACACTAGCCAACCCTCTAGGTCCTGAGGCTAATAAGATAAAGCTTGCTTTCTCTTTGACTATGCACAGAAAACTAATAAATAATCGTAAAATATTTTGACAGGATAGCTTACTGTGATTTAACAGGAGAACAAAGAACATACATTGTGTAATTTTTAAAGAGTGGTCAAATTTCAGTGATCAGAAAATCCACTTTGCCTTTCTCGTTCTAATTTAGAAAACAAGGAAAGAAATACATAAAGGTAAAGGGAAATGTATTCTAAATTTGTTTTCCACAGATGAATCAGCAAGAAAAACTACCGGAAGGAAATCAAACTCAACTGATGGAATTCATTCTCTTGGGTTTTGCTGACATGCCCCATGTCCAGTGGCTTCTATTTGGATTCTTTTTAATCATTTATATCATTATTCTGATAAGCAATGGTACCATATTTCTCCTAACAAAAATAGATCCTGTTCTCCAGAGTCCTATGTATTTTTTCCTGGCAAATTTTTCCTTCTTGGAAATCTGCTATGTGTCAGCTATTCTCCCCAGAATGTTGATAAACCTTGGAACCCAGAGAAGGAGAATTTCCTTAGTGGCTTGTGCGACCCAGATGTGCTTTGTCTTTATGCTCGCAGCCACAGAGTGTTTGCTCCTGGCAGTGATGGCCTATGACCGCTATGTGGCCATCTGTGACCCTCTGCACTATCCTCTACTCATGAATCACAAGGTCTGTATCCAGTTGGTGACTGGCTCCTGGATCATTGGTGTTCCTGTTCAAATAGGACAGACATACCAGATTTTCTCTCTGACTTTTTGTGGTTCTAATATAATCAACCACTTCTTCTGTGATGTGCTCCCGTTGCTCAAACTGGCTTGTGAGGATACTTTCGTAAATGAGATGCTGGTGTACATCGTTTCCGTGTTATTTGCCATGATTCCATTCCTGCTGATTCTTGGCTCCTATAGTAAAATCATCTCCACCATCCTCAAGTTGCCATCAGCTACCAGTCAGGCCAAAGCCTTCTCCACCTGTTCATCTCATCTTATGGTTGTGGTGTTATTTTTTGGATCAGCAATTATTACATACTTAAGACCCAAGACCAGTCACTCAGAGGGAACTGGCAAAGTGCTTTCTCTTTTCTACACTATCTTAACCCCTATGCTTAATCCCTTGATATATACGCTGAGAAACAGGGACGTCATAATGGCACTGAGAAAGTTGGTATGCAAATAAATAATTTAAAAAAAAAACTAACTATATGTATCAGAAATATTTTCTCATATATTTTTCATCACATTAAACTGATATCTATTTTTTTTCTCTACACTCTCCATGCGGTGGTCTTTATTAACAAATTAAAAGGTAATTGTCATGATGCCAGATAATTGTGCTCAAGTTGTATAAGAATTAGATATATAGGGAGCTCTGGTGGCCTAGTGGCAAGAAGCTGTACTGCAATCCCAGAGGTGAGTTGTTCAAACCCACCAGATGCTCTGCTGGAGAAGGAGGCACAATCTCCTCCTGTACCAGTCACAAAAAAAAAAATAATAAAAAATTTAAAAAAAGAATTAGATATAAAATGATAGCAAATCATCCCTTTAAGAATTCTTTCAGTTATTTGTGCCATGCACTTGTTCAATAAGAAGTTTTGCAGAGGCTCTTTTAATTTAGTCAATTTTAATGTATCATCTGTTACATGACTTATTGTGGACCATGTAGTTAATGCCCGTGTATGTCTATACAGTGGGACATCTAATTTTTAAAACTAAGTGAACAATTTGCATTCCTTAAAGTGATACATATATTTTAGCCTCACAATGACTGTAGAGAAACTGCTCCTTAGATGGAACAGAAGATCTTTAATTGAGGATGCACTTTACGGATGATGATTATTTGTGAGGGTTCAGTTATGCAAAAACATATAAAAATGCATGTAATGTTATTTTCAGAGCCATTGTTCTTTGAAAGTCAGTATAATAGAAAAAATAGCGAGTCTGTTTATTAGCTAATAAGCTTCCCATTCAATTAATTTGTATTTTAGAAGTACATCTAATTTAGGAAATTATGTCTTCTCATAAGTAAGAAAAACAAGGACATTAGGCAACATTTAAACTCTTTTTCCCCTTAGGGGAAACATGTAGTTGTAAGTAAAATACGGTTGATAACAAACTGCTGTGATTTTCTTTTATGATAAGAAATGATGATAGATGCCAAAAGGAAATATATTAGAAAAATACTACAGGAAAATACTTCGAAAGATTTATATGTAAGAAGAAAGGAAAGAATAAAAATTAAAATAACAGAAGTAGCAATGGAGACTCAGTATAAAGCTAAAAGGGGTTTGGTGTTGACACACATTTGTGCTTCTAGAGTCCTGGTAAGTCTCATTCCAACATATTTAGAGAAGCCAAATACTCTGAACTCTGCCAAAAGTTTTGAAAATTTGGAATTTGTTGGCCTGAGATTCATGCAGTACGAAACTAATCTGCCTGACCCTTAACTGCAGTCACATTCTTGTGATGATTGAATCCTTCCTTTTCATCACTTAGCCTCTTCCTCACTGTAAGGTCCTTCTCTGAGCAATGTTCTCTCTTGGTAACTTGACCAAATGACATAAGATGTAATTCCATCAAGTGGAGCAGAGGCATGAGGATGTGCAGGGGGAGAAGAGCATTAATCCTGGAGCTGTACAATTTGATGGGTGAGGAGGTGAGGGAAACAGAGTGAAGTTGTTCTTGAAATGACAAAACATAATGGCATTGCCATCTTCACTCTTATGAACTATTCTGACAGCTAAGATATATTTATTCATCTTGCAGTGAACGGGATAGTCAACATTTCTAGCCTACATCATATAGATATTTTTTCAGTTTTTATTCATTGCTAACTTTTTACACGTATATGAAGTAAATGGAAGTAGTATGGCTTCGTCTGTCTCATTTCAGCCTGCAAATAAATAGTTTAGTTTTTTTTCATACTTTGAAGTGATCCTTTAAGGCAGATTTGCCCAAGACACTATATCTAGATTACTAATTTGGATTTAAGGAAAATGAAAGTCTTGACAACTTCAATATTTTCTCCGATTACATATTTTCTTACTTAATGTTGGAGTTCTTAGAATCATTATTTCTGTTAAAGTGTAATCCATACTGAAGGCTGTAATCTTTGATCTTTGTCAGTAAATTCTCCAAAACTTTATTTTTTTTTCAAGCAAACATGTACCATTTTCACATTACAGTTTGTGAATAATTCTTCCAATTCTGATGCTACATTCTTATTTATACAGTCCATCTTCATATATTTTTTTCCATTTTTGATCACACAACATTATTTCCTTGTTCAATTTGGACTTCTGCCTCTTGACCTATGTCAATTTTCCATATGAGCACAGTTAAATATTCTGGGTTAACTATTCTTTCCAATGTTACCTACAACTCATTAGGATTTGTGCAATTTTATGTCTTTGAATAGTCAATAAGCATAGGTAAAAATCTTTTCCCCCCATAAGATTGAGAAGAGGTTGAAATTGTTAACAATTTCATCTTGCTTGAATCCACAATTAACGCTTGTGGTACTAGCAGTCAGGAAATCAAAAGAAGAGTTGCACTGGGAAAGTCGGCTGACAGGGACTTCCCCAGGGTACTAAAGAACAACAATGTCGGTCTGGAGACTAAGGTATGCCTGATCCTGGCGATGGTCTTCATAATCACTTGTAATGCATCAGAGAGGTGGACAATGACTAAGGATGATAGAAGAAGAAGTGATGCCTTTGAGTTGAGGTGCTACAGAAGAGTATTGAATATACTATGGACTGTCAAGAGAACAAATATCTCTGTTCAGGACAGGGTAAAGCCAGACTGCTCTTTGGAAGCAAGGATTTTGAAATTCCCTCTACTTGGGATATGTTGTCAGGAGGGATCCGTTCTTGAATAAGGACATTATTCTTGGAAGGGTGGAGGGTCAGCGTTGGAGAGGAGGACATTGTATAAGCTAGATTGACAAAGTCTCTGAGGTAATGGGGTCAGTTGTATTAGAGTCAATGAGATTGGCTCAGGAGAGGGCCGAGTTTAGAGTAATTGTTCATAGGGTCGCTATTAGTCATGTTGTTGTTGTTATGTGCCGTCAAGTGGCTTGTGACTCATAGAGACCCTATGTACAACAGCTCTAAACTCTGCTCTGTCCTGTGCCAATCTTATTGTCTCCGACACACTCATCCCGATTGCCCCAGTCACTGAATCAATCCACCACTCCCTCCTTCCCCTCCTGTGCCTGCCTTCCTCGCTCCCAAGCATGATGTCCTTCTCCAAGGACCAGTCTCTCCTTACAACATGACCAAAGTATATCAGACAAAGCCTCAGAATCCTTGCCTGCAAGGAGCAGTCCAGTTTAACCCTCTTCAGGATGAATCTGTTTTCTTAGCAGTCCCTGGTACCCTCAATATTCTTCAACACCAACAAAGCTCAAAAGCGTGAATTCTCCTTCTATCCTCCCTGGTCATTGTCGAACTCTCTCACGCATAAAAAGTGATTGCAAAAACCATGGCCTGTACCAGAAGCATCTTAGTCTCCAGAGACACACCGTTGCTCTTCAGTACTTTAGAGAGGTCCCTAACAGCAG